ATCTGATTTAACATATAACCACATTAAGCATTTCCACTAAAAGGAATTGTCCCTAGAAAAAAAGGCAGATTCCAGTTATGTAACAGACAATACACAAAATGAGCCTAAAATATCTTGTCAAAAGAGAAAGGTAAGAATGCTATTAAGGTCTACTCTGATTGTATCAAAAGAACTCAGGAGTCAAATTAAATAAGCTCTCAATGGAAAATGTTGAGAAGACTTGAACATGAATGAAAATAACTGTAATACAATAAGTTATATTTAACATTTAAAGAATCTATATATTTATTCAAAGCACTAATAATCTTTAGGGTATGTTATGGAACCAAAGCTATTATTTTTGAAAATTATCAAAAGTAAAAGTAAAAAAAGTCAATCACTTAGTCTGCCTTCTCTATAAATATTTGATAACAGGATATTTCTCTTTATAGAGTATTTCAGCAAATAAATGAACATGGAAGTAGAAAATTAGAAAAAAAATACTAGCTAAAAGTAGAAGATTTAAAGCTATTCTTCGAAGACTATAAACAAAACTTGAGTTTTTCCACTCTCACTTGTCTTACTCTACAAAGAGATGGAAGTCCCAGCCACAGAAATTTAGCATTGGGAAAAAAATGAAAGCTACCAAATTAGAAAGGAAAAAGTTAAACTGTCTCTGTTTGCCAACAAGTATCAAGAGGTCCCCAACTTGGTGCTTTCCTGATGTTTCTTAAAGACTATATTTAAAAATTATTATATTCATGTATTTATGGTAGAATAACACAAAGTGACATGTTCCTTTCATGTCAAATGGCACATGCTTTTCATTTATTCAATCTGCTAACCTTGATCACCCTGGTTAAGGTAGTGTTTTTCAGGGTTTCCCATACTTTCTGTTGTTTATTAATAAATATCCTCTAGAAAATAATTTTGAGACTGTGGAGCTATAAGTCTCAAAATTTTACCTACTACCTTTATTTTTTTCTCAATAATCAAAAGTTTTATTTTATTTTAGTGTGTGTGTGCATGTGTGTGTGTAGGAGAACTTGGATATAGGACAGAGGTTGGGTAGGGGGTGAGAGAATTCATCAGTGACACAATGGGGAGCAGTATAGGTAGATATACTAAAATACACTGCTAAGAGGAGCAGTGGGCCAGACAGGAGAGTTCAGTACCATATGTGGGTTATGCTCCCAGACTGGGTGGCAAACTCAGGCCTTAGTGGTGATAACTCTGAGACGTAACCTTTAGGTCAGCAGGGAGGCTCCACCTACTACGTTCAATACCAAATATTGAACTTTGCCTACCTCAATTACTATGATGATTGCCCACCTGTGATTTTCTAGTTCTACCATTCCTTTTAAATTTATTTGTTAATATTCTACTGTAAAAAAGAGTCTCTCAAAAATGGGGGTGGGAAGTGCATGGGACTATGGTGATGAAACATGGGTGCATTGGTGAAGGGAAGTCCACAGGGATTACAACTAAGACGGAGAAAGGCACAAAATGATGTAAAAATAAACTAATATATACTAAAAAAGAATGTCTCTCTCCTTCATCTCCATATAGGTATGTACATGCACAAATATTGTAAGCATGGACTTGCAAATAATTATTTCATTCAGTGAATGATAGGATGATAACATTGTTTTTCTTCTTATTTTTTTTCTTCTTATTATTTTATTTTGAATTTTCTCAGACTTCACCAGTAGGAATCCTTAAATACAGGACCCTCTCATTTTTAGCATGTTCCATCATCTTTAAATACATTTTTCCTTTCCAGTACCAAAAGATATTGCCTTTTACATTTAGCAATTTATCCTAGGAATCACTCCATAATCTCTATAAAGGTATTTATTGCATTTTATAACTACATAGTTCTCAACTTTGTGGACTAAGTCTTTTCATTTAATATTAATCTTTTAATCAATATTTACTTGTTTCTATACTGTTGGTTATCAAAATAAAGAGCTATTATATAGTCATATGTGAGGTCTTCCTATTTTTGTCAGTGTTTCCTTGAAATAGACTGGGATCATATGATATAATATTTTAGACACCATTTTAGTAGAATATTTTAGATATTGAAAATTTTCTCTTCACAGTGTTTGTATCATTTTGTATTTCTATCAGAAATGTGTGAAAATTTGCAGTTGTTTGACCATAATCTCACCAATAGAGTATTTTAAGAAAATTGTAAGTTTTTGTAAGTCTGAGTGGTAATAGTGATGTTTCTTTTGCCTTTCATTTTGAACAAGATTTAGTATCTTTTCACACAATTAGAAAGCAGTTTCATTTATTTCTGTGAACAGTTTACTCATGTGGCTCATAAGAGTGGAATTTGGGGCTTTTATGGTCTGTTTAAAGTTACCGTACAATTAGGTTGCTGAGCTTTGTTTTAAACAGATGTAAACTATAAGTGTTTTCCTTGATTATCATGTTTTATATTTGAGCTATAGGTTTTTAAGATAAAACATGGAATAATAATCACCCTGGCTATCTCCTTTAATGTTGTAGAGAGGTCCAGCACCAGGGGCACAGAGCAAGGGTCACTGTTTTTAATATGCTGTTCATAACACAGCACAGCAATAGCCCCACATCCATGACAATGAAACATGTTAAAAAAAATGACAATATTGGAGAGGATGTATAGGAAAGGGAACCCGATTACACTGCTGTGGAAACATGAACAGGTGAAATCACTATGGAAAACAATCAAGACTAATCTTAATAAATTAAAAATAGAAATACTGTATGACCCAACAATCCTACTCTTAGACCTACTGCCACACGATATGAAAACATTAACAAAATACCCCATATCTTCAACAATACTCACAGCAGCATTATTTATAATAGCCAGGACATGGAAGCAATCTATAATCTCCTTTAACTAAAGAAAGAGCCAAGAAGAATTGGCACATTGCAGAACATTATATTGACATAAGAAAGGATGGGGTGTATACATTTTCAGCAAAATTGGAGAAACATTTGCAACAAAGGAAGTCAGAACCAGCAAACAAGTAATGGACATTCACATAGAAAAAATTCAACAATACTAAAGACTTTCAAAAACCCATGGGCATCAATAAACATCCTGAGGGCTCTGAGGTTAAAACAGAGGGGGACAGAAAAAGAGCAAGGATCTACACAGAATGGTGGTGTGGAACAAATAAATAAACTTTAAAAAAAAATTGCCCATTTGCATTTTGTGCAACATGGGTGGAATGGAAAGGGATAAAGAGATATGAAAAAGGTCAAAAGGAAAAAAAGCAAATACTGGATAGCGTCACTTGTATGTGGAATACTGAGAAACAAAACAAAGGGTCTGACAAAACAAAACCCATTAACAAACCCTAGAAATATGAAGAATTAAAACTATCAGACTTCCACATGGTGCAGCAGACCTCTCCTGACCCGCCCGCTGCTCCCCTCAGCAGTGTGCTTTATCAGTCGGCCTGTTCTGCTCCCCGCCCCTGCATCTCTGGCCTGTACCCCAGTTCTGTGTGTATAAATAAATAAATCTTTATTAAAAAAAAAAGTAAAACTATCAGACTCAAGAAGCAGAGGAGGGGGATGGAGGGCAAGGGGAAGGGCATCTGAAGGACTATGGTGGAGGATGATCTGTGTCTTAGGGGGTCATGTGGAAGCACACACCAGAGGGGTGTCATGCCATATGTCTGAATCATAGACAGTGCTGTAAACCAATGCTATCTCACTAGAATTTTTTTAATGTCATGATATTATGTGATCTCATTTTTTAGTAATACTTTCTATCATTTTCTTTCTTTTTATATATCTAGCCACTAAGTCAAATTATATAATTTTGTTTAGAAAGATATTTGAACAATGTTCACTAAGTATTCATGGCTATTCTAGGTACTTTTCCCTTTTCTAACTACATGTTGGATGCAGATTTTATTGTCAGTCAAAATAACATATCTCAAAAGATTAAATGAAGAGGTAAATATAAATATACATCAGTTTTCTATAAGTCAGATGTTAAAAAGAAATTTTCAAAAATAAAGATAATGTAATTTCCTCAAAAATATTTTGTTTTGGAAAATATTTTTCATAAAAATTTTGGATTTATTAGTATAATGTTTTTATGACTTTTTAAGAGAAAAAATTTGATTTAATTTCTAACATGGCAAATATTGATAGATAAAAATCTACACAAAAGATTTTTAGGGTTCTCAATTTTTTCAATTATAAAAGGATGGTAACAACAAAAAATCATGAGAATGTCAATGCCAATGATTCTAAATTTATAACTAAATCAAATCTCTCTCATTAGCAACAACTCACAGAAATAATATGGTTAACAGAAACTCAAAGTACTCCAAAAGAAAACACTTAATGTTATGCTGACCTGCCAAATTTGTTCTCTCCTCAGTTTTTCAAACTTTGGTAAATTACACCACACTTTGGTTACTCATACAGACCTAGAAGTCAGCACTGATTGATCTCTTCTGAAACTGCCTATGTCTAATGTATTAGCAATGTCCACTGACCCACCACCATTAAAATGTATTCCTTATCACATCTTTACTCTGTATCTTTACAGTTATCACTTGAGGAAGGCAAAATCTCATTCACTTGGCATCATGGAATTAAAAAAAAAATCTTACTGAATAAAGTTGCAAAGAGTAGCTATAAAGAGATAAGTATAAGTATCTTTCTTATTTTTATCATCATCATTACATTCATAAGGCCAGAATCCAAATAGCTTCTGTAATATGAAATACTAGTTTTTAGTTTTTAGTATATTAATCCACTAATACAGTGATTCAAGTTTCTCCAAGTAAATTCTAAAGACTTTGACTCAGAGGGAGTAATATTCATATTCCATGCAATAATATTCATGAAAGAATCTGAGCATACAACATTAAAAGGTTTAAAACGTCACCAAAAATAACTTTATTTGAATACTTGATACGTTATAAATGCTTTCATTAAAACAGTGGATTAAAAACATAAGTTACATATTTCTTTTCCATTAGATTGATAGTTCAACTTACCTTATCAAGTTCATCTGAAATCGCAATACCTGAAATTCAAAAGAGATTTATAAAATGGATTTAGAAGCAATCTACAATAATCTGATGTTAACAACAAAGTTTCTATTTATAAAACCAGCACATTTTTCATCTATTTTTCTTTGTTATATTGCTTCAAAATAATGTAAACATCCTTCCTACTAATGAAAACAAATGAGGAATTAAGTCAACTATAACAATATGAACTGCTGAAACAATACAAATGACATATAAAAATAAAAGCAGAACTAAACTACTTGTGGGTCATTAAAGGCAGAACAATCTTACAAAGACATTGGTAAAGAAACTGTCTTTGTTATATTAACAGTGAATAATAACTTACACCTGTTAAATATGGTGTTGTCCTAAGAATAAATTTAGACTCCGTGGAATGATAAAATATTAAAACTAATTCAGTTTGGAGATTATTTATTTTAATTCTCGTATTGTACTGATGAAGACAGTCTAGAGAGGTTCAAGAATTTTTCTACCGTTTCTTGTATTGTCACTTTATTGAGCCAATGGTAAGTGATTTTCTCATAGGTTCCCCTATTCACCTTCCATACACATCTCAATGTATAATGTTTTCCTTCGTCTAATGTCTAATTCCTTCCCTACTCTATCCTCCAAAGCTGTTCTAACTCAGCAATATACAAAGTTTTAGTACTTTATTTCTGTAATGACAGATTCTGCTAACCTTATTTTTATTTTTATTTTTTTGAAAGAATGTCCTTTTGTCTATTCTTCAATGTCTCCTTCACAAGAATGTCCATTGAGGGGCAAGTTCTCTCCTTAAATACCAAAGATTCTCTGGTGAGCTGTTTTTCTTTTCACTTTATATACTTTCCTTGGTAATATTACCCATGCTATTGATATTTTTATTTCTCTCTATAGTGATCACCAACAGATATTTATCGCCAGCACAAAGGTCAGACTAAAGGTATCATCCTCTGTAGTCTCACTGCTCCTTTCTTTTGAACTTCGGTGGGTCAAGGACTTTAGACCGGCAATATGGTCAGCTGACAGGTCTGGAACATGCCACAAAGGGAAGCTGACTCAAACACAACTGTGGGATAGACCAACAGCAGGTCTCAAGTTTGCAATCCAAGGAAACACAGAAAACAATAACAGAGTTAAAGCTAAAGTTTAGCAAACTACAGAAGACAAGGAAGGACGAGGTAAGTTGGAAAAGAGACCTGAAAATAGTTTCCAGAAAATAAGTCTAAGCAAGTTATCTTCTCTGGTACACAATTCTATAGAAAGTGCTTTATTTTTTCCTAAATAGCTCCATTCTACCATGTAATTAATCAATTAGACACAAAGCAGGAAAAATATGCCTTATTCATCAGCAAATATACAATTCCTTCAACTGCAGATAATACTGCAAAGGAGTGTTTTCATACACATTTTTCATAGCAATATACTATAAAATTCTCTTTGTAAAAGCTGCTGTTCACTAATAATTTTTTTTAAAGATTTATTTATTCATACAGAACTGGGGTACAGGCCAGGAGATGCAGAGGGTGAGAGGATTCACCATAGACAGAACAGGGAGCAGAACAGACAGATTGACAAAGTACACTGCTGAGGGAAGCAGCAGGCGGGTCAGGAGAGGTCTGCCACGCCATGTGGATCTCGTCCGGGGCAGGCAGGAATCGAACTCATGAACTCATGCGGAGGTGGCTTAAGCTTCTGAGTACTGTGTTTTAACCCGCTGCACCACCAGGGAGGGCCCTCACTAATAATGTTTATGTATCATTATATTGAGTTTAGACAGAATTTAAAGCTTTTGGGTGACCTCAGCTTAACAATTATTCAAGGACTTGTTGTACTAGGAAGGCAACTTGTTCAAGCAATTCAAGGTGTGGTTTCATGACAGTTACATATTTCAAATGAGCAATTATCTCTGCTGAATATACATGGCAGGAACTTAAGATACAATGTTTCCATAGAAGGTGGGTATATGTGAAACAAATATGCTATCCCAAAGCTTTCTAGACAATTGTAAACATTTCTAAAAGATTAACATAAATCAACATTTAGGATGCTTGGTTTAAAAATATACAGAATTAAAAATAATCATTTAGAATAACTCAGAGAGAAATGTAGGAATTTTATAAACTATAAGTTTTACAGACTGGTTTATGTAATGGTCTATAGTAAACTTCAAAGGCATTATTCTTATTTACAAAAGCCAAATATAAATACATACACACCCATATAGTAATATTTACATTTAATACAATACTATGAAAATATTTCTTTCCATATGAATGCATGATTAATATACATTGTTTAAAACCACCTAAAAGACAACTTATTTATAATAAGGGAAAAGTAGTTATATAAAAAATCTCTTTATCAACCAAATTTGTAAAACTTAGATAACTGGAATTAAATAACTCATCATTACACTGTCTGGGATTTTTGAAACTCTGGATTACTTTTTAAGTTTGTGCATTAGTGTCCTTATTTTATTATTTGATTTTTTAGAGATCAGTTGATACCTCAGAGATAATAATATCCTATGCATAACAACAGCAATAATATTGAATATATTTATAAAGTATCCAAGAACTTGCAAGTAATTGAAAGGCCTGGGAATAATGACAGCACTTTTTTACAATGGTACTGGACATGAATCATGAGCTTACTCCTTGGGTCCTCTGTTTTCTGTTTATTACTCTATTTTTAGCAAGCATCACAAGATGTTTTGCAAGGTCAATAAAGTTTACCATTAGAAAAAGGAGGTGAAGAGAAAGGCTGCTGTGAAGACATATTAAAGTACTAGGAAGTGATGAATAAAATCCAAATAAGATAAATGGGAAACCTGGCTTAGTGAATGAATTATGCCTCTCTAATCATTCCAAATGCTTTGCCTTACATAATTTGTACAAATACTATTGTTTATTTCTTACCTATATATATTTGATGATTTTTTTCTAAAAAATCATAAAATATAATTAATCTCCAGTTTTTTATACATCTTCTTTCAGCTCTCTATCCATGTCAAATTGCCTAGGGTATTTTTCATGTTTTCTTATTTCATTTTTAATCAAAGTTTGACCTGATTAAAAGCTATTGAAAGAATATTAAAGACACTCTTCTTTACAGAAGCATGAAGCTCTAATAAGAACCATTTGTATGAAGTAGCCATGATAATTCTCATAGGGCCCAGCAGAACACTCCAGGCTATTCCCTGAGAAGAGAAGAAAAATTCTTAGATATTTCATTAACTCTTTTAAGTTAATGTTTTCAAAGTTTGTAGAAACTAGGGTGTAATAGTGAATAGAAAATATGCAAGAGAAGATTCATTGTTGCTAATATATTGTAAGAAAGGGAGCCCCCTGCAGGATTTGACTATGAGACACTTTATGCATACCGGACACAAGCTCTTTTTAGAGCTTGTGAGAGAGACACCTTAAAGGAAATATTGGCCTATGCAAGTAGCCATAGTGGTTTGACTTAGCATAATAGTGGTGACCAAATGTGGAAATAGGCTAACTGTAGAAGAATAGGTGGGAAAAATGAATTCTTTCAGAAACAAAGATTCCCTTCTAAAAAGACAAGGACTTCACCAAGCATGTCAGAAGTGAATTCCTAAGGATGGATTTAGTAGATCGTGTAGTAGACCCATGTTTAATATACTGAGAAACATCCATCTTGTTTCCATAGGGGCTGGAGCATTCTAAATTCCCATTCGTTCTTCACATCCTCATCAATACTTGATATTTCTAATCTTTTTTGAAATCGGTCATTCTCTAAGGTATGAGGTGGTATTCTTACAGCCAAGGTGTATTTTTGTTTTAGTGATAGTTTCCTTTGCTATGCAGAAACTGTTCAGCTTGATTTAGTCCCAGTTGTTTATTTACATGTTCTTGTTTTTCTTAATGTTGGTGATAAGGCCACAAAGAAATCTCTGATGGTGGGCCCTCTGGGTGGCACAATGGATTATGATGCAGCATTGCAAGCTAGCTACATCTGCTTCAGTGTGCTTCAGTGTGAGTTTGATCCCAGCCCGGGAGGTGATCCACATGGCACAGCAGATATCTCCTCTCTTGCCTGCTGCTCCCCTCAGCAGTGTACTTCATTGATCTCCCTGTTCTGTTCCCCACTCTGGTGACTCTCTCACCACCCCTGTACCTCTGGACTGTACCTGAGTTCTGTATGAATAAATAAATAAAATTTAAATAATGTGCCATTTGAACTTGAGAAGAATGTGTATTTAGTTTTGGGAGCATGCAATGACTTATAAATGTCTACTCAGCCTATGTACAATTTGATATTCCTACATTTGGGAAATAGATATGGAATATATGTATCTTGCTATTATATATATATATATATATATATACATATATACATATATATATATATAATCTTTTTATAGTGTTTATTCTTTTTATAGTGTCTATCCCTGTGTCTTGTTACCTTTCCTATCAAGAAATCTAATTTACTTAAGTATGGTTGCCTCTGCCTTCCTTTGGGCTCCACTGATATGTAGGGTTACTTTCTGACCCTTTACTTTCAGCCTATGTTTATCTTTGGAGCTCAGGTACATTTTCTAGAGACAGCTAAAATTGGATTTTTTTTTTTTTATCCAAACAGACTCTCTGTATATTTGTAATTAGTGAGTTCAGTCCATTTACCTTTAGAGTGACAATAAATAAATGAAGATCTACTACTGTCATTTTGTTCTTTGTTTTCTGGCTCTTTTTCAGTTTGTGTGTGTGTGTGTGTGTGTGTAAATATTCTCTTCTAGTTAGATGAGAGCCTTTTAAACAACTCTTGTAGGGGAGATGTAGTGCTTACAAACTCCATTAGCTTCTGTTTATCTAAGAAGCTCTTTATTTTTCTCCCATATCTGAAGGAGGATCTTTCAGGATCGAATATTCTTGACTAGCAGGATTTTTAAGTGTCTTGATCTCATCATTTCATTATCTCCTTGCCTGCAGCATTCCTCGGAGAGTTAGATGTATGCCTTTTGGGGGGCTACTCTATTATCTGCTTC